GACTCTATGACTCTATTTCAATTTGACTCTATGACACTATGACTCTATGACTTTATGACTCTATGACTCTATGCCTCTTATGACACTATGACACTATGACTTTGTGACTCTACACAAAGTCCCACCACACCCTCGCATGCAAAGGTCTCCTCGCCAGAGGATACCAGGCCGTCCGTTCGGGCTACCCGGGCCAGTGGTCCGACATCAGCCGGGACTCCGACGGCAGAGGGCTCGCTGCCACCCTCATTACCTCCTCTGGCTCCTCATGGCTCCTCACTCCGCGTTTTGGCTGTCTATGCTCCTGTCGGGGCCTGCAGCCCAGGCTTTTCCAACAGCCCGCTCTTGCAAGTTGAAGAAGCACTCAACCAATTTGTCCGGCAACAGATTCGCGCGTCCGCCGGTAATGATACCGCGCTCATCGTGGGTGGTGACCTCAACTCCTTTACCTCTCGTGCCCTGGACTGGTAGACACGTTTCGGGCCCGTCACCCTACTCTGCAGGCCTTCACAAATTACGCCCGCTCCGGCCGCCAGCCGCCTGGACGCTGTGTGGTGGCTGCCTTCCCCTAGTCACGAGGTCTTGGTACTCAACGCGGCCACCATCTGGCAGTGGGATCGTAGAGCTGACCATGACCCCGTAATCATTGACCCACCTGCACGAAAGTCTCAATAGAGCACCAGTGGAATTCTCTCCCACAACCACAATGCGAGGGTTTGGAAGGCCTGTTTGGGGTCCCTCCAGGTGCCGTCCGACCTCCTATGCGCCACCCATGCAGTGCACGACGCCCTAATGCGTATCCTCTCCTTTTGCCTGCCCCCGCCTGAGCCAATTGCTAAGAGGTTGCAGGGTCGTACTGCCTCGGCTTGGCATGCCTGCAGACCACACTGCATACCGTTACTAGACCTGGCGGACAGCTGGGCAAAGGCAACAGGAATGGACTCCCATCATCGAGCCCAGCATGCCCGCCCCGCCCTGCCAAGCTGGGACACCTTCGATTCTGACCCCGCCGCCTGGGCGCGCAGCCTGGGCTTTGCCCCCGAAGTCCTTGCGCAGATGCCGGAAGTCTCTGGCGTCACCCCTCCGCATGCCCGCTCGCAGGCGGAGCCACCGCATAATACCACCTGGGATTCTCTCCTATCTGGGGGCCGCTCCCCTGTGCAGTGTGTAGCCTCTATTGATAGCCATATCACGACAGCTAAACACGTGCAGGTCTGCGCAAAACACCTCCGCAGTCAGCGAGAAGTCAGGCTTCAGCTACCCCGTGATGGTGACGTCTCGGCATGGGCGCGCAAAATGCGCCCCGCCCCAATTGCATCGTCCAGATACTCCCTCCCAAGCTGCTGACCTGGCTCGTGATAGTCTGCGTGCAGCTTTGGACTGCCAGCCGAGCTACCACAGCACCGCGGTCTTGTTGCTACAGCCCTACACTTCCTTGCAGGCTACGGCTTGTACCTCAGCGTGTCGACCGGCCGCTTCATTAGACAACCTTAACCCTGCCCCCCCCAGCCTCTACACGGCCCTTTCCACCCTAGCCGGTTTGAAGCTGCGGGGCGTTTTGCGCGATGCGGCGCCCGCCGTCTCGCTGGGGAGAGGCCGAGCACCTACCTCTCTCCAGCCAGGCCTGCGCCAGAGCTGCGCACGCCTGCAACAAGCAAGAATGCCTCATCTTTCACGTCCCTGCAGCCCCCGCGCCACCAGAGGACTGGAGGGACGTGGCCTGGCAAGACCCACCCCCCTCTGGCCACCTTCTCGCACCCGTTCCTAACTTTACGGCTCCCCCTGACTTTGCTCTGTTCGGAGACGGAGGCTTCTCCGCAAGCGCAAGGAGCCTCTTTCTGCGGTTTTGGTCAGACCGGTCGGTATTGGGAGGACTCATCGTGGGCTTCTCAACGCCTGCTCGGCCGACTCCCTGCCAGGTATGGTTGGGAAAATTGCACCGTGCATACAGCTGAACTCCACTCCTTGTTCTGTGCTCTCCGGTTTCGGATTCCGGGTTGTTGGCACCTCCTAGTCTTTGATCGCAACTCTCTATTCCAAGTCATGCACTCTCCCCTGCGGGGCACCTTGCACCAACTGCTACACTCCTCGTGCTGCACGCTTGTGCTCCTTTTGCGCCGCGTGCTGAAACAACTTGAACAGGCTTGGGATGGGACTTGCCCCTTGCCTGCCTGGAAGCTGCATCAACAACACTATCCGGCACACTGGCACAGATTCGCACCGGTTGGCGACAAACTCAAGTGCCACTCCCGCATAGCCTTCGAGGCCATCGGGCTGGTAGGCCTCGATATCAACAGTCATCAAGCACGCTCCCCTATCCCTTTCCCAACCTTGTCCAGGGCAATGTCGGCCAAGACCAAGGCTGTGATGCAGCCCGCCTGTCCACGTCCCCAGCTGACGTCCGTATGCCTTCAGGTGGGCCGTTTGCCTGGTTGTCTGATCAAGGTTTTATGATTATGGTCACTAGCCCCATCCCATACGAGAGCACGTCCGGCACAAACTACGAAGCTCCTGCCTCCACGACTGGTGCTCTCGCCCTGTGCAAGACCTCCTGCCACGGTTGGCTCACGAGGTTCATCACCGCCCTTTACACGCAGTGCCATTTTTCCGGACGCTGGGAGCGATGGATGCTCCTTTCTGACCTCTGACCGCCTGCCGCTGGACCTTTCTGCCATGGCCTACCGATGCCACCGTGCCATCGGCGGCAGTTGGACTGAGCGCCTCCACGCCCATGCAGATGTGGCCGCCCTTGCTGACACGTGGGCGACGCAAGCGGGCTTGCCCTCCCCGCGCATCTGTCCACTCTGCCAAGCTGGGCCTGGCACGCCTCGCCATGTCATCATGTCGTGCAAGGCCTTAGCCCCGGCCGCATACAGAGACATGCTAGAACTTCAAACCCTCGCAACCGCCGAGTCACTCCGCCAAGCAGCGACTGCCTGACAACATCAGGCTCGCGCTGACGCCCTCCCGGCTCAATGCGCGTACAAGACGCCCTGCGCTGGCCCATCCTGTCCGCATGGCGATGGCTTGTGGTTCTCCCCGGGCGTGAGCCCCTCCTTTTTGTTGATGTAGACGGTAGCAGTGCCACAGGTACCGGCCGCGAACGCGGCGCAGATTCGGCTTATCGTGCGGTGCTGCCCATCCAATTCGGTAAGGCGCTGTGCACAATTGCCAGCGTGGAGCAAACGATGGCGCTGGAGCATTTTGCCACTCTCCGCCAGCCCTTGCTCTTCAGCAAGAAATACGTTCACTTTCCAAAGCATGGGCCCCACATGCGGCCATCCACCTCACAAAAGGCGTTTACGACAAGCCTACCAAGCTCGCCTGGATGCTTGGATACGACTCTTCCGCATCGCTATCCCCCCGGCCTTGGGGGACGACCTGGCGGCAGGAACCCTTCACCATGCCCTTTTTGTAAAGCTTCTGTTGGTGTTCCTTGTGCCTCGTGCCTCGTGCAACCGCATTCTGCATTCTCCCACGCAGTGCCGTTGAAACTGCGGCGCTCACCCAGCTTATCTCCAGCCAGACGCCGCACCCCTCTGCCCGGACTGCTGGCTCTTGTGGGCCCACAACTTGCAAGCTTGCTCTTTGCGTCGTCGTCCCCCGCCCCTTGCGGGCGATTTCCTGCAGCACCTCCAGCATGTTGCCGACTCCTGCCAAACCGGAGCTGGATCCCAGGCAGCTCTCCCATCCGTGCTGCGGCTCAAGCATGTTCGGCGGTGGCTGCTGGCACGCATCCGCCAATGTAGTGGCGCAGATTCTCGGCAGCTTGCAACAAGACCTGGCCGCCCGCTGCCCGGCGCAGCTGACACGCGGGAAGGCACCTTGCAACGCCTGCTCCTCTTAGCCTCGCAAGCACTCTGTGCGGAGGGCCTCGCCACCCTGCAACGAGACCTCCTTGTGCCGGTGTAAAAAGAGTGGCCCTCGCCTCTGTTCTCTGCATGCTTTAATGGCCTTCGGCCTCCCCCGCCTTTTTGTTTTTTTTTAAAATTTTTTCTCGCCCGCATGCGCACTCTCGTCCTTCCCCTTCTCCTGTTACCCACTGTACGTCGCCCCCCCCCCCCCCCCCTCATCTGGCCCAAACCCCCTTTTCCGGGCCGAAAAGCCACACTTGAGCCACTTCCGGCGGGTTTTCAGGTCCCCCCCCTCTCTCGGGGCCAGTCCGGGCCGTCTCTGTCATAGTTTCACGTGCTGTAGACCCCAACTGCCGCAGATACACCTCCTCCACGGCCTTGGTTTCCATCCTTAAAAGTCTAGTCCAGACTCTAGATCAGACCCCCTCCAGAACCTCCCGCGGAGGGGCCGATGACGCTTACGGAGGTCCCCCGAGATGCTGGGCGGGGAAGAGTGGCGGAGGCCGCAGCTATCGCTGCAGGTCGAACTCTACCTCATTACCTACCTTTATGACTCTATGACTCTATGACTCTATGATTCCATGATTCTATGATTCTATGACTCTAGGACTATGACTCTATGACTCTGTGACTCTATGACTCTGTGACTCTACGACTCTGTGCTTTTGACTTTATACGACTTATCTACATCTCGGTATATAATCTTTTTTTTAAAGCCAGGGTGGCACCGTCGTCATCGATCGGGAATGCAACCCTTCGCAGGGATTGGCGCAACCATTCACAGGGATTCGTGTGGTCGAACGCCCAAACGTGTGGGAAAGTTACAACTTCAGGCGGCCCCGTGCAACCTTTCAAAGGGATTCGTGTGGTCGAGTGTTGAAACGTGTAGGAAAGTTACTACTTCTCGGCGCTCTTAGGCGCCATTCGCAACCCTTTACCGGGATTCGTGTGGTCGAGCGCCCAAACGTGTGGTAAAGTTACAACTTTTTACATGGCCGTGCAACCCTTCCCAGGGATTAGCTTGGTCGAGTGTCGAAACGTGTGGGAATCCAAAGTGGCCACGGACGGGGACGGGACGAAGCGAAGAAAGCCAGGAATGATACTGTTGGCATGCGCTACGTGCGCCTCGCTTGCGGCCAGCTCTCCGAGGTTGCCGGGCTTGCACTTCTACTCTGCGTAGCCTGGGCCCAAGCAATGCATCGCATAGCACCTGCCACCTTTGGTGCCGTTTGGGGCCGTTTCCACCTTCAGGTGTGGGGTCCTGGGCATGCGGCTGCTGGTGGCTACGCGCTGCTTGCATGATTGATTTGTTTTCAGGTTTGGAGTCGTGAAAAGTCGTGATGTCTGGGGCATGTTTGCAGGTCTTGACGCATTCCTACGTGGGCACAAGCCCTAGCGGCCCTAGCACTGCTGCATCCCATGATGTATTCACACGCTTGGCACGGCCGTCGAGCCCGACTGTCTGATGCTGTGACTATGCTGGGTGCCAAGGGGAGGATTTCTTCTCGAAGTGGTCCTTCTACGTCGGTGGCGATCCCACGCACGGAACGGTGCATGCCCCAGGCATCAAAACGGCCTTGGAAGTCAAGACTTGGAGCCCTCTGTTGCAGGTAAAGTTTCTATCCTTCCAGAATGCCAGTATGCAAGGCTGATTGCAAGGAAGATCCTGCTAAATCTGGCGTGGGCTGAAGTGGGACACACCATTGAGGCCTCATCCATGCCTCTTTCGACCGCGTCTTCATGGGCACCGATGCATCGGAGGTTGAAAATCAAAATTCTCAGAGCAGGTGAGCTGAAGGTTCCTCCCAGTGCTCGGAGGTGCTTCTGCCCGGAGAAGGTCGAAAAACCGTGCCTTGGCTGCATGAGGTAAGCATTTGAGCTTTCATATCTTTCATCTGTGCACATCTGCACACGACGCTTATGACTTAAACAAGATTGTTGAAGATCTTGCCAAGCAATGTTGAGCTTTCAGCTTTTGTTCAAGTAGTGTGTCCTTCGGCGACTCAGGCTATTCAGGCTGCCTGACAAGAGCTTGATGTAAGAACTGACAGTTGTCGCCATCGGGTTGAGTGTCTGCGCTTGTTGAACAGCCAGCAGAAGTCTTAGCAGAGACGCAGTGGCTTTCGGTTGCACTGAGGTGAGAATCGAGTGGGGCTCCCAGGGCTCCCAGCAGTGTAGGCTGTGTGTAGGCCTGTAGCGCAGCCGCCTTCAGGTCCAACGAGTGGTTCCGGAACGGTCTCTTCGTCTTGGACCTGGATCATGCACCGGAGCCCAAATATTGCGAAAGAAAGGCCGCCGCTCCCTTGCCCCCTTCGCCCCTTCTCCCGAGGCGCCTTGGGGCTGCGGTTCTTGGCCGGCCTTCTGGATGTTCGGGGAGGACCCACCCAGACCCGGGGCCAACGGGTTTCTCCTGTCTGTGTCTCGCCGCAGGACGCACAGCACGTATGTGACCCAGAAGTGAGAGCATAGCGAAGGTCGCGTCCTTCCAGTGCTTCAGGCCTGGCCGAGGTGGGGTGAGTACGACATCGTCGAATCCGTTCACAACCGCACGTGGGCTGCAACCACACTGCACACTCGAAAGGATTGTGTCATGTTCTCAGACCACAGCCGCCATGGCCAGTGCAGTGCTCTTGCTTTGGGCGCATTGCAGCAGGGGTATGCGTTCTCTTACTGAGGCGCAGACGGACGTGAGCCGAACTCGTGACTTCAGTGGTCAGGGGTGGGTGCCTGGCAGCTACGGCACCAACAAGGCCAAGAACTGCTTCGTGCAGGCTGGACCCTGCACGAAACAGGACAGAGCTGAGGCATCACTTGCTTGGCGTCACTTGGCCATCTTGGGGACTTTCAGGCCCCAGGCGAGTTCGCGAACCAGGGCTGTGGCCAGGAGCAGTGCGGCGCTCAGTCGACTTAGCTTTCGCAGCAGACGCAGCGAATGGTGACAAGGCCCTATGGCTCCTGGGGAAGGCCTTTGAACCAGGCCATGAACGTTCGAAGCGTGTATGGCCCTGGATCGAGATCACTCCAAGGCTGGCGGCGGCACATGGGCAGCCGAGTGGGATCCGGAGAACGAGTACATCCGTCCCTGCCCTTTCAAATCCTCAGCACATTTCAGCCTTTTCGGGTCTCTCCACTCCAAGGCACTTGGTTCTTTCCGCGGGGGAAGGTACTAATGCGAGTTTGGTGCCAGAGGGCTGTCCCAGCCGCATTTGCCCTAAGTTTCCGACAGGCGCCCGCGGATCTGACCGAAAAGCGGCCTCTGTCGGGGGCAGAGTGAGCAGTTGCGAATCTACTGCGCGCAGTCGCAGTCCCGCTTTCTGCCAAACTTCAGTCAGCCCAATTCCTGTACCCCAAGAGCAATCCCGGCACACATAGCACTGAGTAACCGAGAGTACTTCTATTTTCCGGGACGTCTAAGGCCAGACAGCTGGGGGATGCCCACATCCTTCTTCTCGTTGGAGCAAGACGATTGCAGCGCGTGGCCGAGATAGCTGTGGCTTCTGCAGCCGAGTCAATTGTGACGCATTTCTAGTTCATGGTCTGTGGTCAGTCTGCTAGCGTCGCTGATGCTTGAACCCACCATTGTTGCAATCACACACGCTCAGACAGACTGCTGGCACAATGCACTTTTTCAATTAACTTTTCAGGAAGTCGATGCTTGTTTGTTCGGTTTGCAGAGGTGCCCGTCACTTTAGACGGATGCGATCGCACCTCAGATGTGTTGGGGATGATGCGTGACGGATTGCACCTGTGCTTCTTTCTATATCTTTCCAAATGTAAAATGCAGACCCAGCCGGTGCGGGAATGTGTCTCCAAGCGTGTCGAGTTGACCCGAAGTTAGTCGATGTGAGTCGGGGTTTCGTATGCCGGTATTCCTCAAACACAACAATGCATGATTTGAGGGATGGTCTTTGACATTACTTTCTGTGGCGAATTTGGTGGCAGCCTCAGCCTCGACTTCCCCGTTCGCGATGCAGGGGTGGGGTGACAACGACAGGTTCGGCGACCTTTGGTGCGAGCTGTGCAAGCACTGGCCGGCCTCAAAGCACTTCTTGTCACTTGCACTCGGCGAGCTCTCAAAGAGTCAGGACAGTCATGTGAAGAATACGTGCAGAAGAACCCTGCAGCACGATTCTCAGTGACAGTGGCTCGCGGATGCTCGCGGTGGTTTGCCAGGTCTTGAAACATCTTGAAACCCGGAAGTTTGACCAACCATGTTCGAGTCGTGCCCCCACGTATACCTCGGCCCGTCAGACGACTTGAACCACAAAGCAGAACCAGTCAAAGCGGCACGTCTACACTTGCAAGGGACTGAAGTGTGTTGTTCCGTTATCCTGCTTTGCCTGCTTTGCCTGCTTTGGCTGCTTTGCCTGCTTTGCCTTAGGCCTTTTCGGAGGCCTTCTGGTCCATTCGAACCCTGGACGTCTACAAGAGATCGCCGCGGCCTCGAGGGATCTGCGGCTGCGGCTGTTGAGCGGAACGCCGCTCCGCGCCGCTCAGGTCTGAGGCTGAAGGAGTGACGTCCGCCGAGACGGGTCTGAATTACGTCCCTTGGCCTTAACTTCTTAAAGCCCTGAAGCGGCCGCGGCCTCCCGACAGCCTGCGCCAGGGGACCCCTCCGAATGGTCCGAACGGTGCCCTGAGATCTGCCGCCTGGCTGCACTGCACACCATTGCACACCACTGCACACTGCTTCTCCATGCGGGTCCGTACCAGACGTCCGAATAAGCCTTGCTGCGAGATCAGCCTTGGGGCAAGCTGGGTGTCGATTCAATCTGTCCTGTTAATTTCTGCCACAAGGGTCTTGAGTGCGCCGCAAAGATAGGTTGGTACAGGTGTTGCTGGTCGGACAGTGTGTCGGCTCCATTCCTTGACTCCGACCTTCTTTTCAAAAAACTTCCGACAGCTTCGTTTGGGTCTTCATTGCGGTCGAGCTCCAAAGCTTTTGTGCTAAAGTTTTCGTCCCAGCATGCATTGCGCCTGTTCCACTGGTATTCGTTTGTGCTGCAGGTAGGTATTCTTTGTTTGGTGCTGGTCTCTGCCTGAGAGACTCAGAATCTCGGGCCGCGCACAAAGCAAGGGCGCACTGCTCGTGCCAAGGGTGTTGGTGGCTGTGGTGCCACCGCCTACTTCATGTACAAGAAGGTCATGCCCAAGTGGTTTTCGAAACCCTTTGCAGCGCGTTCCCGAGTTTCTGCCAGGGTGCCGCAGAAAATGCGTCTTTTGTAGACATTCAGAAAGAAGGCGCGGATCCCTTGGTACCCGTCAAAACATGGCGCACCAAGATTTAAGCAGTTTGCCTCTCGTGCGAGGCCTTTCTACATTCTCGGCCAACTTGCAGGACGGACGAGATGTGTTGGTGTGTGTGTGTGAGTGAGTGAGTGAGTGAGTGAGTGAGTGTGTGTGTGTGTGTGTGCGCGTGTGTTTTGAGCTTGTGTTCTACTGCTTGGCGGCGGCCCAAATGGCGTTGGAAGCATGGGAAGGGCGCCGGCTCAAGGAAGGAGAATGTAAAGCCGATTGGAGCCGATGGGATCAAGGTTTTACATGTTGTAGCTGTGCACATGGACGTAAGACAACTCCAGCTTCAACTTGGAGCACAACTCCAGAATGCCAGCCGCCGTCTATGAGCCCGGTCAAGCTGCAAAGAAGCCGCAAAGAAGCCTGTGCACGGCTAATGTTGCGGATTGTAGAGGCCAAACAATCAAACTCGGCGTCTTTTTCGTTTTTTCCGTGAAGTGGTGTGTTCCCACACGCTACTAGGCACTGCATTGGCAGGGTCTAGAGTCTACAGTCTCGAGAGAGTCGACGTAATTGCAAGTCATCCAGTCTGTCCCTGCGCAGACGACGGATGTGAGCCGGATGCTGATGCCAGAGCACAGCCACTTCATATCGGACGTCTTGGTTTAGAATCGAAATTGTGCTCAGTGAGGCCAGTGCACTCATGTGAATCTGCGGGAACTGGAGCAGGCCGTGACTGCTGCGACGTGCTGTGACGGGGATCGCATGTAGCTGCAGCTGATTTGCTCATGAGGCGGAATTTGTGACACAAATTCGCGATGGCCTCACAATTCGCGTGCAGACTGCATGTGCACAGTTGTGGCTGTCTTGCAGCTTTGGTACACCTTCTTCAGGTGAAAACCTGCCTACAGTTCCGCAGGCTGGTATCAAGTTTGATTGGTCGCCATGTTTGCTTGATACAGAAAGAAGAACGGAAAGGGAACCAAACACGCAAAGCCAGATCGAGCCAGACGTTAGCAGGCATCTGCTGACAGAGTATATAGTTGCAGAAAGGGCAGAGAGTTGCAATGGAGAATCGGAGAATCGATGGGCGATCATGTGGTTTGCGAAAGGGTACGCTTTGCTTCCGCGTCTGCGATATGATGAGCTTTTCCCGTCTTGTTCCGAAGAGCTTACTCGCACAAAGCTAGACAGCCAGGGATGAGTTTGGGTCAGAACTGCCATTCAGCACGACATCCTGGTACAGCAAACGGCAAATCTGGTGATGCTGCTGAATCTGGTGATGCTGCTGAAACAATGGGGATGGTCATTGGCTCTTGCACCCGGGCCCAAGCGGCAGCACACTGCCACTGTGAGGAGGCTGATCTCTGGCAGTTGTTGCACTGCCTCGTCGCATCGAAACATCTGAAGGCACCGACTGCCTCCCCAGGTGCAAAGGTATGTTTTTTCTGCGAGATCGCTTGCCTCTCGGTGCACAACTGGGAACAATGGGTGAGCATAAGGCTGTCATGGCCCGCAAGTGGCCACCAGACTTTCGCGGGTGCAAAATTCCGTTTGTGGCGAGGGCATATCATGTGTAGCTTGAGTCCACGCGAAGTTAAGGGCGAATGCAGAAGCATGCGTTCTTCGAGGCTTCCCGCGCTTCGCAGAAGGCCATTATGGCCTTGCAAATGGCCAACGCGTGCACCAGACTTTCGCAGGTGTAAAACACTGTTGTGCCGAGGGCGTATCATGTGTAGGTTGAGCCCTTAGAAGCTGTCAACTGCACAAGTCCTACAGCAAGCTACAACTTGTTCGATACATTGCAGAAGTTGAGGCAACAAAAGTGTAGCCAATGCAGCGAAGGCAAAATTGCGTAACTGAGAACACTTTGTGAAGTGTTGACAGCATGCAGTGCGAGCAGCATGTACAGAAACACATACAGCACAGACAGTGCATGAGCAACTGATTTGAAGCCACCTGAAGCCCACGTTTGGTGGAAGTTGAACTGCAAAGTGAAGACACACGAGGATCGCTCTCAGATGTTTTTGAGATAGCCGGTGTTCACGGACTCTGTTTGTCAAGAGCATGTCAGGTGAGCAACTGGTTTCAAGGCGGCTTCATCATTATTTCCACACGCTTGGCATCTTGATTGAAGTCTCGGGCAGCTGTCCCAGGAACTTCTCGGCCCGTGGCCAGCCATCCACAGCGAAATCCAGGTCTCCTGTCTACTCGTTTTTTCTTGTCATGTGCGCCGAAATGCATGACCGAGACCTGGGCAAGATATTGCCCCTGTGGCCAGGAGCTGCGGCTGCGCAGCCTCAAGAGCAAGGTGCTGCTAGCTGGGTGTTCACCTTACATGGTGAGATGGGGCTTGTGCTGTTTGTCGCATCAAAACAAGGGCCGCACTGCGCTGCGTTCTTGGCTGGCAAGGCTGGCTTCTCATTTCAGCCGTCGAGAGGTGACCTGGCAGGCAGCGTGCAGAGCGCATTCTGTATTATTCTGTACTTCTAGATGCATCACAGGTGCGGCCAGCTCCAGAGCAGGCTCACAGCCGGCTGCGCCGGTGCCTGGCCTGACTGGGACGATTGCAGTGGGCCGCTTACGTGGCGCCACCCGACACAGGCAGTCTTTCGAGTTCCTGGTCAGGCGACTTGGCCGTCAATGACGTCATGGCTGCCAGATATGCAGCCAACGAGCACGAGACAGCCAAGTTTAGGCCAGTTTCTTCTAGCCACCAGTCTTTCGGCTTCAAAGCTGGGGTGTGCGGACCGATTTGGCACTTGGATGAGAGGCCAGACCAGCTCGTCTTCGAGTGGGCAGCAGCTGTGGGCTCGGAATTTTCTTTGTGGGCTGCGACAGAAGCCCTGCCCAACTCAGGGTGTGTGTTTGGCCAGCTGCAACGCAGCCCTATGTACGTGGTGCTGCTTCGCCACAACAAGGCGGAACACGAGAAGGATATGGGAAGGCAATAGGCGCAGGAAATGCCTCATCAGGACGCAATCCGGCAGCTGAAACACAGGCTGCAGGTACCAGTGCAGGCGAGTGCTTGCTTGCAGCAGTCAGAGTTTTCAGTTCCCGTGTGGTTGCTCTGCACAACAAAATACAACAAAGTTGATGCAATCAGTGGCAAGCAGTGAGCACAGGAACGTGCATTGCTTGCCCCTGCCTTTCAGTTGAAGGCGGCTGGTCTAATTGGCAATTCGGCGCAGCTCAAACGTGACCCAGCTGGTTTGTGTATGTCTGCGAAGACGTATGGACCTTTCTGCTTCTTGAACCTGTTGACAGGTACTCGCAGGGTTCGCCTTCGCATGGTGCCTGGCGTCTACCTCCGACTATCAATGCACTTGGTCCAGGAGGCGTTTCTTGTGTTTGAGCACCAGATAGCACCAGGACACAGTGAACGGCTTCCGCATTCTGCAGGAAGTCAGCGTCGCACGTGAACAGACCGGCCGGAAAGGGCTTCGACGGAGGCAAAGCCGACCTCCGAGGCGAAGCGCGAAAAGGCTTCCACACTGCGATGTTCAGAGCCATGTCAAGACCGCCGCCTGCTCGAAGTGCAGCCAAACAAAGGATGTTGGAGCTCAGGGTGAGTTCAGGCGCCGAGCGGCTGTGCGTTATATGGTCCGGGTACAAACCACACCATCGGGCGTAGGACGTAGGTGCATACTAACTCCACGAGCACGGCGAAGTGTACAAGATCATCTCGCATCAAAAGTCACCTTCGAAAGCATCGACAAATCAGAAAATCAAAAGTCAAGAGCTAAGGCAGCTAAGGGCCTTGTCATCATGGCATTGGTTGGCGCTCTTTGTGCCGCCTTCGAGGGTACACCAAGCTGCAGATGGCCAAGCATTCCTGGCAGTCGTGTTCGTCACGAATGTGTGATGATTAATGCGATCCACACACAGAAAAGGAAGAAGATATCCAGGCATTCACACATCGTATAGTCTCCTCTCAACTTTCATGTGTGAGTCTGCTCCATCCAACAACGCATCGTAATGTAACATTTTCCGATTGCACATAACATATCAAGTCATCAGCTGTTCAAGTTGCTGTGTTCACGACAACGTAGTGAGCCCGACCCATGCCGTCGGCAGTACCGCTGATTTGAAATGTAGGCTTCATGGACAATACTTTGTTATTCATTCCCCGCATGCTGCATTGATGCAGTGCACAATGTCTGTTACGGCCGCACGTTCGGCATGCTTTGCCCCGGCAGTGGCACTGGGCACGGTGCTGGCATGCTTTCAGCTTTGGAGTCGGCCATGCCGCCCGCACCCGCAGGGATCCGCACGGCCCTATGCGAGCCGAACGCAGGGCCTGGAAGCACGTCGCCAAGCGTCCAAAGGTTAAAGTGGTGGAAAGTGTAGGACACTGCAGAAATTGCTGCAGACGCCTGAGTCATGCAGGTGGAAGAACAAAATGAGTCAGCATTCGATTTGCTGCACCATCACGTGGGCCATCGTCTTTTCCCGCCGCTACCGGGCAGGATAATCAATGCGGTGCTGTTTATGCTGCATTTTCAAGCCGTGTCATTCCCAGACGAATCACTACAGAAGTCCAGAAACCATGCCATGTTCGACATCCTGTACGCCGCGGCGCTGAGACTCAGTTGCACTCGTACCTCTATAGGCGCTCCCCGTCCGCTCATGACACCAAAGCGGGGCGTTTTGCAGGTGTGTCCTGCAAGTCTGTGTAGAAGAGTAACTGCAGTGGCTGTCTGTCTGGTTCTCTGTCTGTGTTTCTCTGTGTTTCTCTGCGTTTCTCTGTGTTTCTCTGCGTGTCTGCGTGTCTGTGTCTGTCTGTCTGTGTGTCTGTCTGTCTCCGTCTGTCTGTCTGTCTGCATTCGCAGCGGGCCGCGTCTGTGCATGCGGGTCCGGTGCACAGGTCCCCATGTCCGCCGTGCCGACATAGGTCGCAGCTGCCTCTGTGCCGGGTTGCGCGCGTGCAGCAGCGCCTCCTCCGATTGCCTTCGGCCAGTGGCGCGGCCTCCGCAGCTGCGGCAGAATAACCTCGTCGGCGTCTGCTTCCAGGGCCGGAGCGGGAAAGCTTGCGGCACACAGAGGGAGGCGTGAGTGACCTGGGACGCCGCCTCGATGGTACACCTCGTGCGACCGTTCACGGATCTTTCCGCCCTTAACACGCCGCACAGCGCGAGAGAGGCCGAGCACGCAGCTCAGTCCCTCCGCTTTCAGGGCTTCCAAACTCCAACGTGGGCGGCTCTCGTGGACGGGGCATGACGGGGCCGAGGCCGTCCCTTTGGAAGGGGGTGACGACCCGTCCGTGAAAGTGAGGTGGGGGTGGCAGCGCAGCGCTGGAGCCGCTGCGGACAAGCGCGTGTTCGCGATGCTTTTCGCTGACTTAGACTCTGCATCTCGAGCACTGCTGCTGTCCCAAAGCGGCGCGGGCGCCAGCTGTGCACTCACAATCCTCCCTGCCGGACCGGACTTCGTTGCACCCAGCGAGCAGTTCCGAGTCGTGCTGCTGCGGAGCCTGCGCCTGGCGCTTCCGCTCGCGCCAAAGCGATGCCAGTGTGGGCGCCACTTCGACAGCTTGGGAGACCACCGGTCTGCCTGCGCCCAAGTCGGGGTCCTGGCGCACAGAGCTGGGCCGCTGGAGCGCGCGGCGGCGCGCCGGCGCGCATCTGCCGGGAAGCCGGTGCCCGGGTCGCCACAAGCGTCGCCTTGCGAGACCTGAACGTGGATGTCCCTGCCGCTGACGGCCGGCGGATTGAGGTCGTCGCAAACGCCTGCCGCTGTGGCGCGGGCCCAAATCGCGCTTGACACGACTTTGGTCAGCTCCATCTAGCGCGACGGGCGCGCGCGACCCGGGGCCGATGCGAGGCCAGCGCTGGCTCTTCTACATATACTTCTATACAAGCCAAGACGCGCAAGCTCCGCACGTACCCCGAGCTCCAGCCAGGCGGGCACGGCCGTTGTCGCCTGGTGGTTTTCGGACTCGAGGTAGGCGGGCGCTTCGACAGCCAAGCGTTGGCGCTGCTCCGCGACGACTCGATCGGGCTCGCGCCAGGGACCGAGCACCGTGGGCGCTTGCGGCCATGGCCGCGCTTACGCGACGTTGGACGGCCCTCGCGGCGCTCGCGGCGTTGCGAGCGCACGCCCAGAGCTTACTGGAGCTGCCGGTCCAGCCTTGCGACGCCAGCGACGGCGCCGAGCCGCCGCTGGGCGAGCTCCTGGCGGCGCCGCCGTAGTGGTGACCAAGCTGCGGACGGAAAAAGGAATGTGGGGAAAAAAAGACCTGCTAACACCTATGTAAAATACGCTACACGGCAGTATCAGGAACAGAAGCTTAGCGGCTCAGCGGTGCTCTATCCTTAGTATAAAGTGAGGCCAAGTGCGGAACTGCCCGCTTACCTGGACGACCTTTGCGTCATCACCAGCTCGGCGCGAGCTAAGCCGGCGTTGGACGCAGTCGCCACTCGTGTCGAAAAGCAGTGTGGCATCGCGTCCAACGTCGGTAAAACGCGGATTTACAACACAACCGGAGGTCCGGCACCGTGCGGGGTCGCTGAGTTCGGTGAGGAGGTCTAGCGCAGCGACCGTCCCCTGCCCAAGCGCGGCTTCACTGCCCTTGGAGTCCCAATCGGGCATGGCGACTACGTGCATGAATGGGGACAGCGCCGCCTGCACGAAGAGCAAGCACTGCTGGACCATTTGCCGCACTTGCCGGACTTGCAGTGTGCGTGGCTCCTCTTGCTCATTTGCGCGAGCACCCGGGCAAATCACGCCTTGCGCAACATCCCACCCGAAAGATGTGCGGCTGTACGCTGAGGGACGCGACCGAGCCGTTTGCGCGGCGCTGCAGGCGTGCCTCGGTAAGGAAACGGCCGAAGGCGAGCCTCTCGTGTCCACGGCCTGGGCCGTCGCAGCAACGCCCGCGACGCAGGGCGGGCTCGGCCTCCAGTCTGCCATGCACACTGAGAAGGCCGCCTACTGGGGTGCCTGGGCGGTCACACTGGGCTATTGGCACGTACGGCAACCGCGCTTGGCATCAGCCTGGCCGACCAGCCCTCGGCGCGGCCCACGCCACTGCAAACTTACTGCGGAGCGAGGGCTGGCAAGAATGCTCCACTCGGGCAGCATTCCTCAGCACCTCATGCGCAGCCCCGTGTGCCCGGGAGGCCGGGCCTGGCGATTGGCCTCGCGGCTGGCAGTTCCACGCATCGTGTACATGCTCACTCCATTTTTGCGATCGAGTGCTAATGCCTACCCTGGAGCCGGCTCACCAGGCACTGTTGGTGTTCCAGTCGGGCCCACAAGCCGCCGCGTGGCTTACAGCCATACCCACGAGCAGGTCCGCCTCGCTGCCGCCACAGGTCATGCAAATCGCTCTTCGCAGACGCCTCCGTTTGCCTCTGCCTCTGAGCCCCGGCATCTGCGGCCAACACGGGCATGGATGCCGAAGACGGCTAAACCCCTGGGGCGACCACGCCCTCGCCTGCACACGCAACGGCCTTTTGGCACGCCGAGCGAAGCTGGTCGAGCAAGCCTGGCTCGCAGTGTGCTGCGAGGACCGGAGGGACACGTTGTCCCTTAGCAGTGGCTGTCGCACACGTCGGCGCCAGGAGTCCTGACGTCGGACCGCCGACGCCTCAACCTCGTGGTGCACGGTTCTCGCGCCAGGGCCTCGCCCTCTGTTTCGATGCCACGCTGGTCAGCCCATTACCGGAGCGAGCGGCGTCGCCTTTCGAATGGCCGAGAAGAGCCGCAAGCGCGCAACGTATCCGGAGTTGCAGCGCGGCGGTGGCCAACGCCTGTTCGTCCTTGCTGTGGAGGTCGGAGGGCGCTGGAACGCCGACTCGCACGCGCTTGTCCTACAGCTCGTCCAGGTACGGGCTCTCCGCGCACCGCCGGCTCTCCGAGCTGCCGCCTCCATTGCTTGGACGCGCAGGTGGTGGGGCATGCTGTCGGCCGCGGTGCAGCATGCCGTTGGCGGCACGGCCCTGGGAGCTCCGTGGCTGATTTCCAGCGGCACCGCAGGGTGCGAACCGGCATTGATTGGACCACGTGTTGGCGCTCGCTGAGCCAGTTGGCCCGCCTCCCGCTGCGCTGAGCGCGGGATACCCCCGTCACAATGGGCCGCACGACTCGTTATACGACTTTTTGCGCTGAATGATTTTCAGAGCAAAAACATTGTAAAAAAACGGTCTGGACTAAGTCACATTTCCATGAACACTCGGAAGACGTGGCAGCTCCCGCAGCGAAGGTCTGTGAATCCTGTCGCGGCCAGGCCATGACGACTAGGTCCACTGCCTGAGCGACCCGCCTTCGGCATATCCGGACATGTAGCAGCCGCAGCCGGGTTTGTGGAACTCTGTTGTGATCGAGCCCTGGGAGGCACCGACAGTTCAAGGTCCGTGGGGACCGCAGGCCTGCAGGCTCTGGAGCACACTCGTTGACAGGGGTTCCAAGGCCTGAGGCAGGGGAGCAAGCACAAGCACAAAAGAAGCAAAGGAGGCTCAGCACCTCCGTGGGCACAACACCTGCATCAGCTGCACCGCTTTGGGTCTCCAAGGACACACGGGCATCACGAGACCTTCGGACGACAGGTTGCAACATGAGCCCACCTCACTATCATGGCTCGCCGGAGCCGCCCCACCCTGCACAGCACTGCGAAGTGACAAACATCCGTTTCCAGTGTCTGACAAAGAGTCAACAGGAAGCTTTTTGTGTTAGTCGATGCACATGCCCGCTCACCGGCTATGGCTCCGTGAATTACCACGAAAGCCTAAGCCGGCTATTCTACCTAGGCCTTCTTGCTTCCCTTCTCCACTGAAGCCTTTGCACTCGTGCCCCGCCGACTTCCGTTCGGGAGGGCTTTTTGCATAGGTGCTGCACAGCTATGCTGCTCAAACCGGTGTTTCCACCATTCTCTCCCACGCAAATCCGCTCTACTCCTTACAGCCGTCGCTTACACTTATCTTCGACATCCCATCCCAATTGTAACGCCTCAAGATCTCTTGTGAGGGTGGTCTAACCAAATAGGTGCCCCACCTATTCCCCGACCCCCAACCCCATGCACCCCCGATGCTTTGACGCCCCGGAGTGGTCTGCGAGCCCCGCACCGCGCCCCGTTCAAGGGCTGCATGCGAGATGTACCTTTGACCCTGCACCTGCTTCTCGAGCGCTGCTGCTGCCTGCGGCTTCCCCTCCCGCCCGCGCCGCGCCGATGCAGCTGTCGCGAGCAACTTTGGTGATGACCGCGCTGCCTGCCACCTCGCGGGTCCTCGCCACCCCAGCCCGGCCGATCGAGCACGCCGTCGCGCGAGTCTGCCGTAGCCATTTTGGCATCATTTGTGAGAAACCCCTGCAGCTTTAGTGGTACCCATGCTTGGGCATCTGGAATAGAAGTACCATGACCAACTGTACCCGCCAAGGTCCACGAATGAAGATCCCAGCGCCGCTAGTGGCCGCTAGTGCAGTTGTTGCTGTTTGGAGTGATCCCGCCAACAAGCTGCATCATGCATGCAAAGTGCAGGAAGTACCGATGTCTCGACGAATTGACGAAGGTGATAGGCTCGCTGATTGGCTGAGAAATCATACCATGTTTCTTCAAGTATCGAAATGCCAATTGCACGACATTTCCTGGACAGGATTGCAGACCAAGAAGATGGCTCTGGTTCAGCAGCACTGACAACACGTCGTTCATGCTCATATCTAGGGTCCACTTGCGAGCGGACACGTAGTATCGGCCAAGGTACCGCACGAGCTCAACAAACTCTGAAACAGCGGCCATGAGTTCTCCCACGAGCAATACTTCACGCCTCCCCGCAGACCAGACGAATGGTGGGCAGCCTCTTGACACATTGTGACTGAAGTGCTAAAATTAAATGGGTTGCAGCAGCCGGGCGCTTCCGTAAAGAACGGAAGTCACGCAAGCGTTAAGCTTCTGGGAGTGAGGGAGACAACAAATAAAGAGCATCGCAGGGGGACCACCATCCTGCTCCTCAGGTTGTGCATGTGCGGTTCCGAAGCCTTTGATCGTTTTTGATGTATCTAGTCTTTTTTTGAGTGTCTGACGGCCGATCTTTAGTGGTCCCAAAACCAAAACCGTTCCGTAGAGTCTTGCCGAGCTTGGCCCTTGCTGCGGCACCTGCAACTCTGAATTGCGCCGCTGTTCTTTGATTGGTTTCCTTCGTGGATGCTCCTTTGCATTATCTCATGAAACTGAATCAAATGGCCAACTTTTAGTGGTCTGAAAAGGTGCCCGCGCTCTATGCACTCGGCCAACAACACGACGCCCTCGCCACTGCCGCTGCGCAGCTGCGCCCCGGCGAGTGCCTGGCGGCCTTCCTCGGTAAAGCTCGGGTCTACAATCGCGCTGGCGGGCCAGCGCCTCCTGGCATCGCCGAGCTCGGAGCGGGTGTGTGGCGCGGGGATGCGCGCGAGACCGAGCGCGGGTTCGTCGCGTTAGGCACTCCCATAGGCCACCCAGGCTTCGTCGCCGCCCACACCGATGCGCGCCTGCTCGGAGACGGGCAGCTGCTGCTGCTGCTGCTGCTGCTGCTGCTGCTGCTGCTGCTGCAACTGCCCGCTGATCTCGTCTAGCAGGGCGAGTGCCTCCCTGTACTGGTCCGCCACCTTCCCAAGGGGCCCCAGGCCTGTTGCGAGCCGCGTGCCTTAGCCCGTTGAGGAACTGGCACGGCCCTTGGCCCTCGGAGCTCTCCTCAGACTCCTCTTCCCCACTGCCCTCGGCTGGTGAGGTGGGCTCTTGCTCCTGCTCGAGAGCTTCCTCTTGAGGCGCGGGAGGTACCGCAGCCCCGGGCTCTGCTGGCTCTAGCTGTGCGGCCTTCGGTTCCTCCCTGAGCGGAGGAGGTGGCCCTAGTGAAGGCGGCGGCGCCTTCACCGTCGGAGCCTTTGCTGCCGCCTGGCTGCCGCAGCGCCTCTTGGGACGGCCTTCGGCTCTGCCTCCGGGGTGGCCTCAGTGGGTCCACTCGCCGGGGCTGCTTGCTCCTGCCCAGCTTCGGAGCTGGGGCTTGCAGAGCTTTCTTCCTTCTTCGCCTCGGCCGCCTTGGGAGCGGCCTTTGGTGAGGCTCCAGGCTTTGCCTCCTCGGCTGGCTCTACGGCCGCCTCTGCGGAGGCGGGCGGGGCGACCCGCTCTGCCGGCCCCGCTAGAAGAGGAAGCTGCAGCAGCAGCGAGCGGGGTTTCGTGAAACGCATAAAATGCGTGAGTGGCATGAACGATGCACGGGCGGTAGGGAAGGACCTGCTGAAGCCACGAGAGCTCAAATGATTAGAGCTCGGAGGCTCCTCTCTTTTATCTTCTTTCATGTCGTGGCTGCGCGCGGTCGGATGAGCCTCTTCCCTACAGAAGCAGAAGCCGCTACCTTGACATCTCTTGAGGACCTGCGGCGGTGGTATGGCGTTGAGGACGTGCCGTGGGCAGCTTTCCATACGCAGATCGGGCAGCCCCATCTGAGAATCTTCAGCGCCATGCCACAGAAGGCCTTGACGGAGAACATTATGCGCACGAGATGTGGGACGCCTCCCGCTTCCCTAGTGTTGCTGTCCAGGGCCAACTTGGTTGGCATGATGCCGACACCTTGCGCCTCTCTCAAGCAGCAGGCCTTTGCGCACGTTTACTCTGCCTTCCTCCTCATTGCTTTGCTGCGCAGCTCGCACAATTTGCATTGAACCAGCCTCTATCGTGGGTCCGTGAGGTATTGGGCGAGCTCTCCTTGCTCGGAGTCCCGCCTCCGCATGCTTACGGTATCCACTTTGGTAGCCCTGCAACTTCGATTAAGCCCTGGCTTCGCACCGTGAAAACGTTGTTAACATGGCACGCCGACCGGCATTATGCTTCTTTGCTTCAAGAATGCAGCTCCTTCCAGCAGTATGCATGTTGGCAACCCAGGCCCGCCTTGCACCGCGCTGTCTATGGACCCGCAGTTGCAACACATCGAGCGCGATATTGGGGATTGGCACGCTGCGGCCATCACCCTTTTGCTGATGGCCGTGCAGCCAGACATCGGGCACGTAGTGCTTCCTTGATCAATTGCCCTTGCCGTTTCTGTGCCCGCAGCGTTGACTCCTTGGCGCATGCTTTGTTTGACTGCCCTGCACACAATGTTTTGCGACAAAGGTAGGCCAGCCGGTCTCGACATGCATTATCTTTGCACGTCTTATTCTCCACAGATGGAAATGTCAACACATTCCGTGACATCACGAACAACATTGATTTCGTTGCGGATGTGTGCATAGCCGCCGAAGCATGTGAGATGTGACAGCATACTTCTGAGCAGTTCTGAGCGCGAATTTTTGAACCCGGTTTGTACATACCGGTTCCGTTGATATGATGTGCAACATGCTTGGTTCCGAACTCAGTGATTTGGTGTTAATGTGTTGTTCATAGCATGCTTGGTTCCAGACATTGTTTTGGGTGTTGGTTTGTTTGTTTGGTTGTTCTTGGCTTGTTCGTGGTGGTTGACGAACCAGCATGCTTGTCGTAGTTGCTCTCTGACCGTGACCCACGGTCGTTTCCGGACACGCCTCTCTCTCCCTAACACCGACTCATGCCGTCCAGATTGGTTTGGTGTGGCGCTTGGCAGGGCGGATCATGTACACCAAGGGCGGGGGCAACTACAGCGAGTGGAAGGACATCGACCCATGGGTCACTCCACCAGCACCGGCTGCGACGATGGCGGCCCCGGCGGCGGCCCCTCTCAAGGAGAGGGGAATAAAGATGTCCTCGGTTATCGACCAGTCCGACGACAGCGAGTTTGTTCCCGAGAGCCTGGCAAAAGCAGATTCGTGGTATCAGCGCTACCTGCGTATTATGGGTGGCGCGCCTCAAGAAGAAGAAGACTGCACGGTGGAACAGCTATCGGCGCTGAACAAGAGGGTCCACACTTTGGATCTTCCTCCCTATGTGGACCTGGGGGTTTGGCAGCCTTACGGCAGGCGGGCGCTCAGGGCCAGCAAGTTTCGAGCTTGGTTCCCGGATGGAGCTGGCGGATACATGGCCAGAGAACTGCCGGGGCCAGCTTCGTGGAGCCAGTGGCTTGCTGCTTGGCGGGTTTTCCAGACGGCGGCGATCATGCTTGACATTTTGCCCCTGGCTTCGCTCCAGTTGTACGTGAGACACATTGAGAAGCTGGTCAAGCTTTACCCTTCGGCGTGGCACCTGGTGGTTTTGGCTGACGAGAAGGCGAGGGGCGAGAAGTGGGCCCGCCTGCGGCTCAAGATCTCCGCAGACCTGGCTGCAGGAAAGGGGCCGCCAGAGCTTTGGGATCCGCATCGACCGTGGGTGTCGGCACTTCACCTGCTTGTGAACGACACCGCTTTCTGGGAGGACCAGGTGCGATCCCCGGCCAACGCCTGGGTGGCTTCGGGAGGGCGAGGCGCACCACGCACCCCGGAGGAGACCTACAGCGCTTCACAGGCTTCTGGCTCAGATTTGGACCCCAGCACCGCCATCCGGAAGCGAACCAGCAAAGAAAAGAGGCAGGCAAAGAAGCAGCGGGTCCAGGCGGAGAAGGAGGAGCTGAAGGTGCTCCGCGCGGCGGCCACCGGCAAGGGCAAGCTCGACGGCAAGGGCGACAAAGGAGGCGGGCTTAAGTTTAAGGACCAGGCGGGCAGCGATCTGTGTTTCAGCTGGGATTCTGCTAAGGGCCCTTGTGCAGACTGTGCCCCGGGCGAGGGATGCAAGGGGAAAATCAAGAGGATCCACAAGTGCAGGATCTGCTTGAGCCCCGGCCACCGCAGCCAGGACTGTCCACAGAAAGCGTGAGCCTTGAAAGTTCGTCTGCCCGCTCCTCTGTCGCGTCCTTCGCTCTCTCTCTCTCGCTCTCTCTCTCTCTCTCTCCTCCCTGCCTGTTGTGCTGAACAGTTGCCGTGTGCGCAGGGAAGCAGCCAGAGAGTGAGTCGCATGTCCATGTCACGCGGGCAAGAATTCCTTCTGGGAGCCCTTTGGCACGACAGAAAGGAGTGGAGCCCAGAGGGCCGCGGCGGCTCGCACATGGGCCAGGCCGCCGGGTGCTGCGTGATGGCGGGCAAGGTGTTTTGCTTTCTCCATTTGTTCAGCGGTTCGCATGACAAGCTGGGGGAAGCCGTGGTGGCGGAAGCCCGTGCCCCGGGGCTCGAGGCCACAGTGGAAGCCTACGACTTGTGCAAGGGGCACGACCTGACAAACACCGGCCTGGTGCAGACCATCGTGAAGAAGGCGCGCGAGGGCAAGTACCAGGCGGGCCATGCGGGCTTCCCTTGCACCACTTTCACGCGACTCCGCTGGAGACCGGAGCAAGGCCAGCCAGGCCCGGTGAGATCACGCCGATTCATCTACGGTTTGCCTGGCAACAACCGGGCCCAGCAAGAGGAGGCAGACCGGGGCACGCTCTTAGCCCTGACTTCGCTTAAGGTGCTGGACGCCATGGCAGCCGGGCAGCTCGAGGGCGAGGGCGAGCAAGTGAGGACCATTGAGAACCCTCCGGAGACTGGCCACGCCTTTGCAGGCTCGGCGTACTACCTGCCCGAGGTCGTCGAGTGGATCAGCCGACCGGGGGTGGAGTTCGCTGATTTCAACAACTGCGTCTACGCTGACCCCGCCAAAGGAGAGCAAGCCTACCGTAAGCCACAGAGATTTGTCGGTGTGTGTCCCGGTCTGTCAGAGCTCACAGCCAAGTGCCGGTGCGGTCCAAGCTTTTTCCACCCAAAGGTCGTGGGCACGATGGCGGCCAAGGACTCCGCTAGCTACCCCATGGCCTTATGCAAAGCGTACGCCAAGCTGGTGGTGCGAGCCTGGATTGGCAAGGCCGAGGGCGGGATCAAACGCCCCAGTGGATGGGTCGACCGGCCCCCCGCGGGCCTTGTCGAGGAAGCTCAGTGGGAAGGCGGCCAAGGGACGTTCGGCAGCCTCAGGGTCCAAGACAGCAAGAAGGCCCGGAGGGACAAGGAGAACAAGGAGGCCATCGGTGGCATGCGTCGCCCGGTTTGGGCCTTGGAGCACGTGCCCGGCTTGCGGGCCGTGGGCCTGGAGGTGAGCGAACTCTTCGACAAGTTCGCGGCCAAGCACCCAGGCGCCAAGGGCGCGGCCCAGGACTACGGCACCGAAGGGTTCGAGATCGGCTTCGTCGAGGAATGGAGGCGGTGGCTGGAGAACCATTTCGGCGTCGAGTCAGGGCATCCGCGGCTTCAGTTGAAGAGCCTGCTTCATTACGAATCCCCGGTCAACACCTCTTTGCTGGAAGCCTGGACGCTTAAGGCCAGGGATCCGGACAAGGCGGTGGTGGATTGGTTGAAAGAGGACGGCTGGGGGAACTTGGCTATGTGAAAAAGATCTCGAAGACCCAGGCGACCAACTACTTTTCCGGGGCTGTGGTTTCTAAGCTGGGGCTGCTGGTCAAGCCCAAGGCGGATGGCACGGTGAAGAGACGCGTCATTGTGGATGCGCTTCGCTCCGGGGCCAATGCTAGAGCAAGGTGCCCAGAGCGCATTGTCCTCCCACGCCCCCAGGACATCTACACCATGGCAGCAGACCTCAAAGCCCATGAGCCACAGCTGCTTGAGTGGTATCGGGCCGAAAGGATCCCAACCAAGGAATGGGGTTCGGAGTTGGTGGCGGCCGACCTCACAGACGCCTTCACGCACTTCCCGGTCCACCCTTCAGAGCACGAGCAGTGCCTGTCGCCGGCAGGGGACGGCGAGAACTTCTACGTGTTCGTGGCCATGTTCTTCGGGCACAAGTGCGCTCCGCTGATAATGTGCCGCTTGTCGGCCTTGCTTACGAGGCTGATCCAGGGAATGTTTTGGCAGGCGGAGCTCCAGCTGGCGACCTATACATCGATGATCCCTTGACGGCGCTCGTGGGATCACGGGCCAGGCGCAACAGGAACCTCAGCCTCGAGCTCCTCACCTTGGGCGCCTTAGGGATAAGGCTGGCCTGGCACAAGGGGGCGAGGGGCTGCAAAATAACATGGATCGGCATCCACTTCTCGCTCCGTTGGAGAGAGGGAATCCTGGACAACGAAGTGCCGGAGAAGCTCCGCGACGAGCTCCTCGAGAAGCTGGAGAAGTGGGCAAAGGGGGGCATGGTTCCGCTGAGCCAGCTGCGCACCTTTGCGGGCAAGCTCACCTGGGCCGCTGGGATCTACAAGCGAGCCAGGTGGGCAGTCTCCATCGTCTACGGGGCCATCACCGCGCATGAGGCTGAAGTTCGTGATGGCACCGAGGAGGCGAGGAGGGCGGCCCGACAGGATGGCCGGTCCAAAGAATTCTTGGTTCCGGTGAAAAGGTTCGAGTTGGCCAGGGCGTGGCTCGCCACGCTTTTCAAGACGAGGAGGCCGAAGACCTCCATGTCGCTGTGGCGGAAGCCGGAGTCGATCATGATTGTCACGGACGCTTCGCCGCAAGGCTGCGGGGGGATGCTGCTGGTCCGGGCGAACCCAAACACTCCCTGGAACATCTTGAAAGCCTTTGAGTACCCTATCGAGCCTCAGGACGCGACCTTGCTAGGCTTCGTGTACAAATCGCACCGGAGCCAAAGCTACTTGGAGGCCCTGGCAGTTTACATCGCGCTCCTCGAGTGGGGCAGCCTCCTGGCAGCCATCAAGGTCGGGCTGGCGATCCGCTCGGACTCCACCGTGGCCCTGGCCCTCTTGGAGAAAGCCGCTTCCTCTTCGGCCGCTTTAAACCTCTTGGCGGCGGAGATGGCCTTGCACCTTGAGAAGCTCCAGGTCGGCGAGATTGCATTGTCACACGTGCCGGGCAACATCAATGTTTTATCCGATTGGTTGTCGCGACCGGAGACCCGGGGGGACATGCCAAGCCAGCTTCAGGGTGTCAAGATCGGCAAGCCCAAGAAGCTCAATCGGAGCCAATTTTCGCTAGGCGTGGCTCGGTCGCACGACGCCTCAGAGGCAGGAGCGTCCTGGGCCGCCCTTAAAGGGTGATCGCCTGGGTCCCACCCGTGCCGAGACCAGGGTCACGGGACAGGGCAATCAGACACACTAGTTTTTGGCCAAACGAGAAAAGTTTTCGGTTAGGCTTGCAGTTCATGTACATGGCAGTTTTCATGTCGAGTGTTGCGTGCTGCTTCCCACCCTTGCATGCACTTCATGTCCAGCCCTCGCCTGGACAGCATGCACTTTCCCTCCCGCAGCGATGTGGTCCGCACCGCGACTTCTGATGTGGGGGCTGCGCCTAGCAGTGCGGATGGCAAGCTGGTTGTGGACCTGCTGCCGCAGAAGAGCTCAGCGAGAACTTCCGCAGCCAGGAGATCAAGAACCCCAGCGAGATCCCATGAGACCGAGCCGAAGCGATCGAGATCCAGAACACCGCGAGCGCCCAGGAGTGGATGCCCGGTTCCCGGCGCCAACAAGAAGGTCGCCCTTTGCAGCGGGGCGGGCTCCGAGTCAGCAGCACCGCCGGGACCTCTCAGCGAGCTCCAGCTCCGAAGGGGCCCAACAATGCTTCGGTGGCAGAGGCAGGGATTCAGTGACAGCCACGCCGAAGCGTTCTTCGAGAAGAGCGTCGGGGGGCCACAGCATGGACCCAGCATGGGAAGCAGACCAAAGCATGGCGAGCAGACGGGAGGCTTCAACTCAAGCTGGGGCCCCGGGCTATGGTCGCACTTGGGGCCATCAGTCTACGCCGCTCTCCCGCCTCATGGGGAGACTGGAGGCCACCGACGGCAACCAGATGTCAAGGACTTGGCCCTTCGGAGCCTTAGCGAGGACAGACGACACCGGGCGACTTTAGGCAAATCTCCGGCTGTGTTCTTGAGTCCGACGGCTACCTGGACGAGGACCTCGACAGTCAAGGACCGCACTCCGGAGCTCGGAGAGTCAGGAACTACGTGGTCCAAACAAGGGGGCCAAGTTTCGCCGGGCACTCGAAGTGGCTCGGGATCCCAGCGCACTGGCGGCAGCTTTGGCGGACCTCAAGAATAAGTTCTTTGCGGAATCCAACCAAGCGGCACAGGCGAGAAAGGAGACGGACGTCTTGGAGCTCGTCGCCGCCCTCACCAAAGGCCTACCGGCGTTCCCTTTGACTCCGACCAGGGTTCTAGAGTTTGGGGCCGCGCTCCTCGAGGCCAAGTACAAGTCGGGAGAACAATACTTGGGTGCTCTCCGGCTAGCGCACGTGGAACGTGACCATGCAGTCACTCCGGCGCTGAAGCGGGCCTTCGACTTAGCCAAGCGAGCGCTGGCCAGGGATAAGGGCACCGCAGACCGCGCGCCGGAGTACCAGATCGAGGACTTCCCGATGGAGGCGGTGATCCACGACCTCGTTCCCGGCGAGCTGGCTTTGCCGAAGTTGACCTACGGCCTCGCTGTCTCTTTCATGCTTCGCCGCTGTGAGCTTGAGCGCGTCCGCTGGAAAGACGTGACCTGGGACAACGCCAAGCTCACCCTCTTCCTCAGAAAGTCGAAGACGGACCAGGCCGGCAAGGGAGTGCGGCGCACGTTGGGTTGCACCTGCGCCCGATCAGCAGCAACGTGCCCTGTGGAACTAGTGAAGGAGTTGGCGAAGGCCGTGCGGGCCGGCCTCACCATCGCGGAGGTCACCTACCTGGGCAGATGGCATTCTGACCTGGTTTTCCAGTACGGTGAAGAAGCCTGGGAAGAGCCAGAAGGGCGCCGCGCTAAGGCACTACCGGCCCCACCTTCGACCGACTCCGTTGCCCACCTTGCTAGAGAGCTCCCCGAAGACAACCTGAAGGTCGAGACGCAGGAGGGGTTCTCGGACAGCCTCCTCACGGGCAAACCGAAGTGGGTCACAGCGTCGGGGAGATCGAAAGCGGCAGCCATTCTGAAAGCTCTTCGGCGACCTGGAAAACGAAATGCGGTTGGCCCTTCGCCCGAGCCAGCCACTTCACTCTCTTCGTGAATCCCCCGTCGGGGGTCCCAAAGTGCCGGAGTTGCAGAATGTGTTTCGACAAGTCCCGCGGCAAGCCAACTGGAGTGGAAAGAGCGGGATTGGGCAATCACGACAGCGGCATCGAGCTGCCGAATGCACCTGCAACCGCAACGGCAAAAAGCAGAGCTTCACCTGCGCTTCTGAAGGGCGGAGGGTGGGACTCTTGATTGCAATCGGAATGCCGTGAAACGCATAAAATGCGTGAGTGGCATGAACGATGCACGGGCGGTAGGGAGGGACCTGCTGAAGCCACGAGAGCTCAAATGATTGGAGCTCGGAGGCTCCTCTCTTTTATCTCCCACCCGCCCACCCGGAGTGGAAAGAGCGGGATTGGGCAATCACGACAGCGGCATCGAGCTGCCGAATACCGCAACGGCAAAAAGCAGAGCTTCACAGGACTCTTGATTGCAGTCGGAATGCCCCGCTCTCCTTCGCAGTCGCTTCCTCCGAAGTCTGGTGTGTCTTCTCCAGGCGCCGGGCCTGTGAAGACTGGCACCTTAGGCGGTGCTGTGTCCAAGGAGGACTCTGAGCTGCTTGGGCTCTGCACCTCCTGTCCGGCACCCGCGAGGTTGTCGTCCGGGGTGCGAGGCTCTGGGTCTCGGCGCCTCGGGCCTCGCGGTTGGCGTGGGCCGCTTGCGAACGACCAGCAAGCTTGTGCACGCTCCTGGGTCGCAGGCTTCCCCTTACCGGGCTTGCCTGCTGGAGCTGGCTTGCCCTTTGCGGGCTGCTCTGCTCCCTTAGTCTGGGCTGCCTGCCCTTGGCGGGCTGCGCAGCTCCTTTGGCAGGCTTGCCCTTGGTGGGCTTCCCTGCTCCCTTTTCCCCGCGACGGGGGGTTCGGCTCCCCGACTCCGAGGCGGGGCGGCCCGCACTCGGGCCGGTTTTGCCTTTGCCCTTTTCGGGCTCGGCTGCGGCTGTTCTGCCCCGGTCTTCGCCTGGGGCGGCGGTGCGCTCGCCTATGAGAGGGCGGCGCGGTCGAGCTGGAGCTTCAGCCGCTCCGCTCCCTTTTGCACCTTTTGGTGCCTGGCTGGAGGAGGCCTCCTCCTCTCGGGAGGACCTCCACTCCCACTCCGAACTCCAGTCGGAGTCCCAATCCCACCAGCCCCACCACTCGGACGTGGCGGCTGGGGGGTGGCGGTTCGGCCCGCGCACCCTTTCAGGAGCGTCGGGGCCTACCGATCCAGCTCCGCTACCATGCGCGGAGGCAGGAACGCGTATTGGGCTCACTTTTACTTAACTCTCAAAAGAGGGCTGCGGTACGTTCAAGCACGGTTGGCTCAAACCCTCTGGTCTCTACAGCTACTACCTAGGTTTCCTAGTGCAGCCTACAAAAATCTCGCAAATACAGCGGGCTGCGGCGTCGGGCCGGCGAGCGCGCAGGACAGGCAGGGCGTCAGCCCAGGCAGCCGAGTATGCCGCAGGCGCGCACTGCAAACCCAAGCCGCCCAAGCGAGAGGGCAGCATGGCAAGGCGGCGTGCAGCGGCGACCTCGGGGTCCGCATCGTCCTCTTCGCCCAGCAGCGCGAGCAAGCATCGCCACACAGCATCGTCGTGGCCACGCGCATAGCTGGCAGGGAGGTCGGGCGGGAGGGTCCGCAAAAGGTGGTCGGCGCGAGGCGAGGCACACATGGCAAGAAGGAGCCATGCACACTGGAGGTCGGGCAGCAGCAGCAGCAGCGGCAGCAGCGGCAGCAGCAGCGGCAGCAGCAGCAGCAGCGGCAGCAGCAGCAGCAGCGGCAGCAGCAGCAGCAGCAGCAGCGGCAGCAGCGGCAGCAGCAGCGGCAGCAGCGGCAGCAGCAGCAGCAGCGGCAGCAGCAGCAGCAGCAGCGGCAGCAGCAGCAGCAGCAGCAGCAGCAGCAGCAGCAGGCCCTCTTCGACCTCTCTCGAGATGAACCAGCAGCCGACCCCGTGGTCGAGGCCCTGCGCGGGGAAGTGGCAGGTTTGCTGGAGAGCCAAGCGCAGCAGCTGCAGGCTGCGATTGGCGAGCTTGCGGCCCAAAGACAGCAACAACAGGGCCTAGCTGCAGCAGCCGCTACGGCGGCACCCGCCCCTGCGCCCGCACAGGCGAGCGGTGGAGGGCACTTGCTTAAGAGCATGCGGCTCCCTACCTCCCTTAAGGGGCGGGACGACTGGGAGCGTTTTGCCTTTCAGGCAGAGTCCTACCTGGCAGTCGTTGACACCAGGTATCCAGCAGAGCTGGAGGTGGCTCGAAAGTGCAAGGTGCCACTCCAGATGGCAGCCATGACCGAAGAAGTGCGGACCCTTAGTGTCCGCCTCTTCGGCATGCTGGGCAGCTGGACCCAGGACTCCGCCACAGCTGTGAAGCTGGCGCGCGGAGTGGGGCCAGATGGGTTCGAGCTCTGGCGTCTCCTGTGGCAGGAGCACAACCCAGAGAACGAGTCCAAGAACCTTACCTGGAGGCGGACCCTGCTGATGCCGAAGTTCCCGCCAAAGGAGAGCGACTTCTCCTTGGCTCTGCAGGAATGGGAGGCAGACCTGGACCGCTACACCTCCGAGTATGGCGCAGGGCGCGCCCTAGCAGATGAAGATCTGCGGGCAGTGCTGGTGACCGAGAGCCCCAATGCTCTTCGACAGCACCTCGCCATGCACGCGGCGAGTCTTTCGACTTATGCCGAGGTGAGGGAAGTGGTGGTGAGCTACTTGCAAGCCAAAAGGGTCTGGACCCCGAGTGCGGGCTACGCCGCCGCCTCTCGAAGGGACCCTAACGCCATGGACATTGGCAGAATAGGGGACCGAGACGGGAAGGATGGAAAAGGCAAAGGCGATAAAGGCAAAAAGGGGGACAAGGACCACAAAAAGGGCAAGGGCGACCACAACGACAAAGGAAAAGGAAAAGGGGACAAAAAGGGGAACCAGCAAGGATGCAGAGACGGCAAAGAGAGGTGCCCCATCTGCTGGAAAACGGGGCACACCGTTAGGGAATGCTGGTTTAACGCCAAGGGAAAAGGTAAAGGCAACAAGGGCCAGGTGGCCCAGGTGGCCGACGACGCGGCCACAACGTTGTCAACGACCTCCTTGGCGACTGCGGGCCCCTCCGCGTCCCAAGCCGGAAGCACTGGCGGCTCTGGCGGCAAGGGCCAGGTGCGCCAGGTGCACGACGACCGCATCTTAGGTGTGCGGTTTGCCCCGCCTCACGACACCGAGCCAGAAGAGGACAAGATCCTCAAGGTGTCGGGGAGTCTTCTTGTGGACTCCGGGGCGTGTGTGTCCGTGTGCAGGCCTGAGGCGTTTCCCGACCTGCAGCCCGCGGGCCCACCAAAAAGCCTTTACTCGCTGCACAACAGCCGCCTGAAAACAAAGGGCCGTGTCCAGCCGAGCCTCCTCTTAGGGGAGGAGTGTCAGTCCTGCAAGGTCAACTTAATTTGAGGTGACCGAGGACATAGAGGACGAAATCCTCAGCATCAGCCGTGCTGTTGAGGCCGGTGCGGGCATTTGGCTCCACCGAGAGGACAGCCACATTTTGTGGCCAGACGGCGTGCGAGCCTCGATCCTCAAGACAGAGAGGGTCACAGTTCCTCCTACCCTACGAGTGGGAGCTCCCGCCGGGGTCAGCAAACCGGGTGGCACCGGTGGCAGCAGAGCCACCGAGCCCAGGCAGGGACCTGGGACACTACGACTACATCCCGGAGCACGACCTCAAAGCTCGAAAGGTGGAGGACGCGGCGATGGAAGCAGCAGCCGACGAAGAGGCCGAAGCTGCTGAAGAGGAGGAGGTTGCGGGTAACCCCGCCCCTCTCGAGGAGCAGGCCGACCAGCCTGAATCAAGGCCACGCGGCCTAAGGGCACCGCGCAACCCCACGGAGCAAGAACGCGCCGAGCACGAGCTCACTCACACGCCCTACCAGGCGTGGTGCGAGAAGTGCGTGGAGGGAAAGGCGCGCGAGGACCCTCACCGCCGCCGTGAGCCCTCAGATGATCCGGTGACGCCTTTGGTCACCATGGAACCTCACAGACAGGGCCGCTGGCTGGACTCTGTCGATTCGCGTGGCGCACAAAGGGCACAGACACGCGGCTTACGCCGCAGGGCTTGTGGAGCAGTTCGTGGATCGCCTGGGGTACGACAAGTTTACCCTACAGGTTGACCAGGAGAATGCCATAGCCTCTGTGGCCCGTGCGGTCCACCGCCGGCTTGGAGCTGCTAGGGTGCGTCTTCGGGACGCCTCTCGCGGGTCACACCAAAGCCAAGGATCCGTAGAGGGAAGAAACGCACACCTAGCAGGTGAGGTTCGCACTTGGCTCTCGCAGCTAAGAGCGGACTACCCCGCCTTAGAGTGGGTTGTTCCCGTGGCTTGTCAGGCACGTGGCCTGGCTGCAGGCCCGTTTTGGGACAAAGTCAACGGATGGGGTGACGCCATATCGGGCAGCCACTGGCACCGACTATGGTGGAGCACCCTGCTCCTTTGGAGAAACCGTTTTAGCAAAGCTTCCAAGGCCTGGGAACAAAGCGCAAGTGCGCTGGGTCAAAGGGGTCTGGGCCGGCAACGTGAGGAGCGTTAGGCGACTCCCGCCGGAGACCCGGCACCAGACGGCAGTCGTTCTCAAAGCGTGCGGCTTGCCTTGGAACCCCAGATTTGGCCGCGCAGCGCCAGCAGAGCGCAGCGAGCCAATGATGGTACCAATCCCTCTGGCCACGCCGGCCGAGGAAGTGGAGCGGCTAGAACCGCCCGGAGAGCCCTGGCTCTTCCACGACGGGCCCCGGTCCGACGACGAGGCCCTCTTGGTTGCAGGGGCCGAACAGACCAGCAGGCTCCCGGACGCTAGCCCCACTGAGGAGCTAGCCAACGCAGACGTGCCCGACTACGAGCCGTCAGACGTGGAGGCAGAACCTGCCGCAGCAAGCGCGCTGCCGCAACAAGCGGCAAGCCCCGCCCAAGCCGCCAACGACGGCTCAGGTGAAGGGGGGCAGAAGCGCGACTCTGCGGGTTCCTCCGCGAGCGCAGCGGCAGCACAGCAGCCGCCTGCAGCTAAGAGCCGGGTGGAGCCCAAGAAGGCACCGCAGCTTGGAGTGCTCACGGAGCGCGAGGTGTGGCAGCACATCGCTGCCTTAGCCGACCCGCCGCTCACCAACCACAAGGGCGAGCGGGATGCGTGGGTTGGGCAGGTTACGGACCTGCTAGACCGGATGCTCGACCCCAAGGAGGTCGAGCAAGCACGCAAGGAGCAGCTGAGAAAGCTGTGGGACCGAGGCGCTTTCACGCCTGTGCTGCGGTCTGAAGTACCGCGCGGGGCGCAGCTGTTCAGGGCAAAGTGGGTTGACAAGTGCGACAAGGGAAGGTACAAGTCAAGGTGTACCTGTGCCGACGTCAAGGCCCGCTACAGCCCAGAACAGGAAGCTGGCTTGGACGTTTTCGTCCCAACGCCAACGCCCGAGAGTCATTCCCTATTGGAGGGAGCAGCGCTACACAACGAAGGGTGGGTCACAAGGTCTCTGGATATCGTGGCCGCCTTCCTCATAGGGAAGGACCGCGGTGCGGCGGAAGGCCGCCCGGTCTACATGCATGCGCCTGTGGAGTGGCGCGAGCTCTTTGACCAATGGGTCTTGGAGCAGCCTGCAAAGGACCAGCAGTGGTACCGAGACCACTTCCGGGACTTTGTGTTCCGAGTGGACGGCAACCTTTACGGCCGAAGAACGGCCGGGTCCGTCTACAGGGACGAGCTGGAAGAAGTCCTCACCGGCAAGCTGTGCCAGGACTACGACTTCCAGCGAGGCGTGAAGGACGCGTGCGTGTTCCTAGACCGCCGGTCCGGCCTGATCCTTCTCCACCACATCGACGACATTCGGGTCGTGGGCCCCAAGGCCGCAGTGCCAAAGTTCACCGAGGTGGATTTACCGAAGCACTGTGAGATAACGGTGGGAGAACTGGAAGAGAAGGGCACAGCGGTGGAGGTCCTAGGAAGGACCAAGGTGCGCACAGAGGACTCTATCCTCACGCTGCCTGACAGCAAGCACGCTGAGAATGTGTGCGAGCAGCTGGGCATCGGCCCAAAAGACAAGGGGACCGTGCCTAGCAGACCTCTAGACCTGACCAAGGTCGAGGAGCTCTCTGCGGGTGACGCCGCGAGGTTCCGCAGCGCCGCGGGTAGTGCTATCTACCTGTCGGCGGACAGGCGAGACATACAGTTCGCCGTGAAAGAGCTGGCGCGAAGGATGCAGAACCCAAGGGTCTGTGACTGGCTCGCTGCGGAAACCCTCGCGCGATACCTGCGGGCAACCCCGCGGTTTGGAAGGGTAGTTGTGCTGGACCCCGCGTCCAAGAGCACAGCCCTTCTGAACTTGGAGGTCTACTCAGACTCCGACTGGGCAGGGTGCCCAGAAACAAGGAGGAGCACAGACAACATAGTTGCCTGTCTCGGGGCAGCAGTCATCCAAACAAGCTGCCAAACACAGCCCGGTCTCCCGGCAACCTCCAGCGGAGACGCGGAGATCCGAGGAGTGTCACGAGCAGCTAAGGAGGCCGTCTTCCTACGAGAGCTTGCGGATTGCCGCGGCTTTGGGCTGACTCCGCAGCTTCGATCGGAGCCGCCAAGCGCATAGGCCCAGGGTCCAAGGCGCGCTCAGAGCCAAACTTCTCGAAGAAAAGTTAAGGGGACCGAAAATCCGGCAAACTTCGCTACCAAGCACGCGAAGACGGGACCGGAGGTGCGGCAATCCCTGCCCTCCATGGGCATGGTGGACCTCGATGCAGTCGCAGGTGCCACCGAGGCTCTGGCCCAAAAGGGCACGATCAAAACAATCCAGGCGAGCCCCTGGAAGATGAGACCGCCGACCAAGCTTGCGAGCTCGGCGCTCATGGCCACAGTTGTGGCATTGCAGGTACGACCTGCAAAGGCCCAAGGGCACGACTTTGCTGAGCTGGTGCTCGGCTTCGCGGCTTTTGGCTTCCTGGCCTTCCTGTGGATGCTTTGGAGCTTTTTCTCCTGGCTCTGCAGACGCAGACGCGAAAGGCAGGAGCCAGAGCCCGAGGACGAGATCGGGCACCACGCCGAGCGTGCCGAGGAGCCGCCGCGTGCAGCCCAAAGGGCCACCGAGATCTGGCTGGGACCAGAAGCAGAAGCGCTAAATCAGGCGCAAGAACAAGGAGGTGGGCAGCAGCCCAGGGGGGCTCAAGAGCCAGAGCCTGAGGGCGAGCGGACCCCAGGTCCGCCCCCTGCGGTGGACGCTCCACCACCACCGCCGCCCGCTGCCCCAAGGGTGCGGCGCAGGCGTAGGGGACCGGAACCCCTGTCCGGGGACGACGAGCATCTCTACGAGACGGCCCGCGGTGACGAGATCCATCTGTTCACCAACTGCAACGGGCTAAGCTCCGTCCCTCCGGATCAAATCCTGATCGGCTTTCGCTGCGATTGTGCAGCAGATCCGCAGAACTCCCAGTTCCTTTGGACCGGGTTCGCCTACCAAGTGGCCACCTCGTGCGCCGGTTTCACGGCCAACAGCGCGGTTGCCCATTCATGGAAGGGGCAACGATCAGACACAGGGTGTGTCTCCACTGTCGCAACGGACACCCAAGCTCCAAGCCCGGCAGTGCGCAGAACAACTCCCGCCGCTGGGTGCCTCCACCCTAAGGGGCCCCTAGCGGCCCTAGCGGGTAGCACCGCAGGGCAGGCCTTTCGGCTTCCAGCCCTGTGTGCGGGACGCTCCGCCCTTCAAGGGGCGTCTCACCCTCCGACGCGGGAGGCGTTTTCCTCTCAAACCCCTGCCTCTATGGGGGGTGCGAGATTTTTGTAGGCTGCACTAGGAAACCTGGGTAGTAGCTGTAGAGAGCAGAGGGTTTGAGCCAACCGTGCTTGAACGTACCGCAGCCCTCTTTTGAGAGTCAAGTAAAAGTGAGCCCAATACGCGTTCCTGCCTCCGCGCAGTATTGCCGAGCTTGCCCAAGGCCCTGCTTCGGCTGCCGCGTGCCTGCGCGCTGCTGAGGAGGCCGGCCGCGTGCTCAACCGCACCAACTGGGCCGGCCGCCCGTCTTGGAACGACCTGCTCAACAACGTGCGCCCCGCACAAAGCGATCTGCCCGAGCCTGGCGAGCGGTGCCAGGGCTGGCAGCATCACGGTTCCCACGCTTGCTCTACCCACTTCCGCGAAACCGAGTTGCTACCCGCTCTGCCCGCCCCTGCCCAGGCCATGCTCCGTTCGCAGTCGGGGCCGCGTGCCGCCGATTGGCTCCACGACACCCCGTGCGAGGCTGGCACCGCTCTGTCGCCCGACCGCATGCTCATAGCCATGCGGCGACGGCTGCGGCTGCCTTTGCCAGTCGCCCCACACAAATGCGCACGCCGTACATCGCTGGGGCCATGCCTGGCTCTCAGCTCCCCACGCTCGTGGACGTCCTGCACGACGCAGGCCCCCCCACCCCGAGCCGCCTGCCGTAGTTTGCAGCGTGCACGGGGACCGGACTTTTTTGCGCAGTCGTAAAAGGTGCGTGAAAAAAAAAAAGAACCAAAACCGTTCCGTGGAGACATCGGACCTAGCCTACCGCTGCCAGACTCGGCAGGCGTCAATTCAGGAGAAGAAGTCAATACGTTTTGAAACCAACACGGCAGCGAGCAATGAAAGAAATTGCCTGCGCACTTCATGGATACGACTCTTCCCAAAAGTTCTCTGGCAGCTGCACTGCAAGGAGTACCCAGAAGTCCACCACACAGCTATGCTGGGGCATAATTGGAGGCAGCAGGGTGACTCCGAACGAACAGCCAGGAGAACGGTCTTGATTCGACCTAACCAACTATTAAGAGGAGCAACCTCGAAGGAAACCAGTCAAGGCGCAAAAAAGCAAAAACGTTGCTCAATTCTGAGTTGCGGATGCAGCAGCAAGGCCAAGCTCGGCAAGACTCCACTGGCGCGGACTGATGGCGTGCAGGAAAAAAAGGCAGGCGGCGCCAGGGGTGCCCGCAACGTCCGCCTCTCAGACATGAATGTCGATGTGCCGATCGCTGACAAGGGCTCATCGAAGTTGTCGCGAACGGTTTCCCCTGTGGCACGGGTCGCCTCGCTCTCGATACCGTCACGGCCGCCGCACACGGGAAGCGACACCACGCCTACCCAGAACTCGCCCGAGCACGGCGATGCCGCCTCGTCGTTGTCGGTGTCGAGATTGGCGGCAGGTTTGCCACTGAGACCGTGCAGCTCCAGCGCCTGCTCGCGCGACATAAGGCGACGGTTGTCCTCGCCGCATCTAGACCGGCCGCGATCACCGCATGGGTTGCGCGCTGGTCCAGGCCCTGGGCAGTCGCAGCCCAGCGCGATCCAGCGCGCCTTTGCAGGCTTCTCTCCTGGAGCTCCCCCCGCTGCATAGCTGGGAGAAGGCTCCGAGCCCGAGTTGCGCGAACTCCTCGCCGAGGCGCGCTGGGCTGCAACCTACCAGGCTATGTCCTACACCAGCTGCGCCGGGCGCTAGGGCACAGGGACTTTCGTCAGCTGTAAGGGCACAGCTGGCCTTCGAGTTCAAGCCGCATGCGGCGTAAGTTCATCAGCTGTCCAGTCAACCATGTTCCGATTGAAGATGTGTCGGAGAAAGCAGGAATCGCCGTGACCAAGGCGAATGACGCGAAAGATCAGATGTTTAAAAGGTTCCCGGGTCGTAGCAAGTCGTAGTAGTGGTCGAACAACGTTGGATTTGCGAGTGCTACGTTGATGCGCCGGCATTTGCTCAAGCAAGCTTTTGACCTTATCTGGGCAGTGGGTACTCACTCCACCGGAAGGTTGTGAACGTGATCTCGCCGGGGCCAACTGCATGGCAGCTAGCAACTCATGGACAACATTGGACAACCAAACGAGAGGGACGGTTTCATGTGCAGAAGTTCGTTCGCAACACATGCAGCGTCATGCAACTGGATGTGGACCCGGAGACGGGTGACAACAAGTCGCCTTCGCGGCAGGAGTGTCACGCATTGCAGATGTTTTTCAGTGCAACTTGGGGTTTGACATGGTTTGACCATGGATGCACAAAACGTGGGGTTTGACCAGGACACATTGGAATCGGCATGCTCGCCTCATGCAAAAGCTCTGCGGCGGCCGCTTTTGGCAGATGCTAGCAGCTTCGAGGTGAAAGCGGTACTGGATAAGGTGTCCGGAGTAGAATGTTTTGTTCACGCCGTAGACACGAAAGCAAAGTCGTGGGCACATGCGTTGTCGATGTGGTGGCACGTACGACTTGTGCTCGCCGCAACGGCAACCTGGGGTTTCAAGCTGAAGCGGTCAAGGCCAGACAGGTATACCAAGGTGGTTTTTGAGTGGCAAAGCTCCCCTGTCACACCACCAATTTTGTGGCTAGTCAGTTGGTGATGCGGTCGCGACAGGATGTCCCCTTGCCAGCTTCGCCGCGCTCGGATGCTTTGGATGAGGCAACCCCGCAACAAATTGTGGAGTTTCTGTGTTTCGTTCTGATGTCTTCCGCGAGCCATCTTCACAGGGGAATAGGTTGAATATGCGTTACAGGGTGGCGATGTGTCCAAGCGGACAAAGCCAAGCAGTAAGAGTCCTGAGCCAAACGGTTTCGGGAGAAAGCGATGATGGCTCAACAACTTTCGGTCCATGGTAGACTATAGACGAAGGGAACGGGGTATTGTAAGTTATGTTCATATCTATATACAGATCTGTGTTCATCCATTTATCTGTCTATCATTGTTTATTTCGCTATCCACCAACGAATCCGTAGAATACTATCATACTAAGAGTAAAACTAGTAACAACACGAACATAGTATGACAATAATGTGAACGTTATATGATTATATGTAGTCATATCTATTCACAAGTATTTGATCAGACCCAATTTAATTCAATTTAGTTGGACCGCCGATCCTGCCGAGCCACTGCCAATTCAGCCTTGTCAGCCTGAAGGGGCCCAGGACGGACGATCGCCCAAATTCTTTCCAGCACTTTTCTGGGAGCGCTCGCTCTAATTAGTACCGATGCCGAGATGATATCTCGACGGCGAGTCAGCCACATGGGCATCAGTTGAAAAATGACCGATGAAGGAATTCGGTCTGCGAGGCTGGAGTTCTCAGCGGTTGTTTTACCCCAAGGAGTGAGCAGGAATCTTACACCAGAGCCCGGGAGACGAGAAGTGAATTCAACAGGAACGGCCGACGAGGGGTTTCAGGGGGCAGAGGCGAGGCCAAAGGTGAGGGATACCAGTGAGGAATGCGCCTCCTTTCCTCGAGGGTGTCGCGAGCGAACCCCTGAATCGCAGTTTTTGCAGGTTTCTGCAACAGGATAAGCCCGCATGTTTTGTTCTCTTGGGGGTGAGACGAATTTTGAACTCAGTTGGATGTTGCATTGCCGTCTGTGATGTCTCGGAGGCAGACGCCGAAGCAAGCCTAGGCTTTCAGGCAGGATCCGGCTACAGATGTGGGGATGCATGGTAGCAGTGAGACGCCAGGACGCAATATCCAGGCACGAGGCCTGGAAGGCGCATATGCCCTTTTCATGCGAAGTTTTGGTGCCTTCCGCTTCTTTGCTGAACCACGTCCAGCGCCAGCATGTATTCCAGCACTTTTTTTAAAACTAAGGTTAAGCCGTGCACAAAAGCCAAGTTTT